TCAATCACAATCTTTTTGTTTATATGTAGACAACTTTTTGATACAGGAACTGTATTTAGATCAACTTTAAAAAGTGAGGACAGAAGTGAAGTTTCAGCTTGAACACTGACCTTGTACCTAGTCAAGAAAGAAATCCACTTGTCGAGAACATCATTTATTGAAAGCTCCATGTAAACTCTATCTTCACTGATCTTCTTTTTTTTTTGGCATAACTCAAAATCACTGTCAGTATCAGTGGCACTCGTACCACTTGAAGATAGTTCTATCTCAAAATCTTTCATCCTTTCTATGTCCTCTATAGCTTTTTTCTTTGACATTTCTCGTTTTTCTTTTTAATGTTGTTCTTCTCTACGCATACTTTCTATCATATCTAATATTCGTTTGTCCCCGCCTATGATTTTTTCTTGATAAGATTTAACTTTCCCAGTGTCAAACTTAACCATTTCTCATTTGAATGCTCTCTTTAGGAACTCAATATCTTCTGTCTTTGCTTGCTTGTCTCTATTTTTGTCATCTCTTATAAGTTTTAAGTTGTCTGTTTTATAAACAGGAAAAATAAAGTTTGCTTCTTTTATAAAACTTTCTGTTTTTGTTTTATATTGCTCTTCTTTGATCTTGTTTATTTCCATAAGGGTTCTAAGACTACACAGTTTCTTGTAACGTTCATAAAATTTATCAAGCTTTTTCTTCACTACTTGTTCTGTAACCCAAAATCTTGAATCAAATCCACCCTTGTCCCAAAAACTTAACAGTTTTCTCAAAATGCATACTCCAGTAAATTATCCCCAGTTATTTTTTGAACACTCCCCTCCAATGCAAAGCATAGATCTTGACATTGTCTTTTGTGCACAAGATAGTTTTGCGTTATTCTTATTTACTCTGAGCCAATATATTCTACGACAAACTTCTCCTAGTGTGGGTAGTCTAAAAAAAATTAAAAAAAAAGTCTTTACATACCTACAAAAAGCTTTTCCAACTCATAATTTTAATTAAATTTTAAAATAATACCTGTTTGGTGCAAACATATGTAGTGGATACTGAAGTATGTAGATTGTTCTTTTACACCTATTAGTTCTCTGTGGAGATAAACTTATGTTAAAGGATGTACTTGAGGTTCCTGGTTGACAATCCCTGCTAGTCCTAGGAGAGGTATATCTCATTGGAGGAGGATTTCTGAAACGTGTAGTAACCAAGGAGCTTTCCTCATTTTTCTCTCTTACACTACTCCGACCATTTCTAGTCCTTGCAGATTTACGAGGAAACCCATCTTCATCATCATTAGCCATTATATATTTTAAGAAATTTGTTATAATCTGAAAATTATAGAATGTAAGGGTCTTATAATATTTTACATAAAAACAATTATTTGAATAGAGAAATAATGCCACTAAAACAATGACAAATTATTCAAAACAACATATTTGGATCAAGACTATCTGACTTTACTCATCAAAGACATAATATTTTAATTTTTTGTTTAAAAATCTTATTATGTCTAAAATCGGATAAAAATTACATTAAAATGTAATTTTTATGTGATTTTCGACTTTATTTGTCTTTAAATGACCAATATGTACAAGTATTACCTCTTAAATAAAAGATTCTTCCAGAACTAAAATAAATGTAGACAATTTTCTACTAATCAATCCATAAATTAGGGGCACCAAGAGGAAGGAAAGCGGGGCAAATAATTCAATGCAACCTAGCATATAAAAATACCTTGTACTGGATCCCCTTGACTTGGAGAGCTAAAAATTTTTTTGGTGGGTCCTGGGACCAAATAAGAATGATTGAGATAGGGTGCATGTGAAATTTTTTTGGTCAGGTTAAAAGTGGGACACCAAATAATATGTATACAGGGTTCCCATATATATATATATATATATATATATATATATATATATATATATATATATATATATATATATATATATATATATATATATATATATATTTATATATATATATATATATATATATATATATATACGTATTTATATATATATAATTATTTTTAAAAATAACACGATGTTTTTTAATCTTAACATGTTTCGTAAAATTTTATTTACATTATCACAAGCATATATTTTATTAGATGAAACGGACACCTTAGATAAAAACTTTGAAATTGAGTTCATTGAATCTCTGAGATCGGAGGAAATATCGATTTTAAATTTAATTTTGTTGATTCAGATAATTATCTGAATCAACAAAATTAAATTTAAAATCGATATTTCCTCCGATCTATATATATTATAATCAAACGTGTTGAGGCCTAATTTTGTATTTATAAATTTAGTAAAATAATATAATGTATATATATATATATATATATATATATATATATATATATATATATATATATATATATATATATATATATATATATATATATATATATATATATATATATATATATATATATGTATATATATATATATATATATATATATATATATATATATACATATATATATATATATATACATATATATATATATATATATATATATATATATATATATATATATATATATATATATATATATATATATATATATATATATATATATATATATATATATATATATATATATATATATCAGGCGCGGATCCAGCATTTTTTGATGTTTGAGATAACTAACTTCCAGACATGGAACAAACTCCAAAAATTTATATGTTTATACTTATGTCAAATAAAGATGATTTGCAAAAAATTGCGACGATTGGAGTCTGGGAACAAAAAAGCCCCAAAATTTTGGCCACACAAACCCCAAACAAGAGAGCAACAAGTTGATAAAATATTTTTTGTACAATTCTCAAGTAAATTTATATTCATCGATAAATTCTAAATTTCATACAATAATCTCTTAGTGTTCAAAAAACATGACCTTCCAAAATTTGTAACCCCCTCAAATTGAGGGGGGTTAAAGCTTTGTGCAATTATTATTTATATATATATATATATATATATATATATATATATATATATATATATATATATATATATATATATATATATATATATATATATATATATATATATATATATATGAAATAACCAACTTTTAAACAAAAAAAATATTCCAAATTTTTTTACGTTCTTATAGGAGAATGAATTTATATGAAATGGTTTGAAAAGTATTATTATTCAGCATTTTAAAACGCATTGTCTTCGATCATCTCTTATTTAATTTTAAAACACAATATTGTCAATATTTTCAATTTGCCTACAGCTAATTTGTTTAAAATTATCAAATCGCTTTAAATATATTTAATGAAACAATTTAATATATAAGTTAATTAAATCTAGACAGTATGAGAAAAAAAAATTAATAAGCTATTTTTCGTGATCCAAGTGAACGATCAAGCAGCTTATGGACTGCATTATACAAAATCTTAGGTGGGTCATGTAAAGGAAAAAAAAATTAAGGTCTTTACGATATGTCGAAGCTACTCAATTAAGCCTCCTAATCAAAAAAAATAATTATTGATTTCGCGCATACTTACAACGCAGTAAAATAAGAAAAGGTGTAAAATAAAAAATAGAAGTGATTCGATAATAGAAACTTGCAAAAGTTATTATCCATCATTGCGAAAAGAACTTTTAACTTAAGAGGCTCAATATAAATAACATAAAATCAAAAGATAGATAAATGAATGGCAATTGGAATTAAATTCATCAAGCGCAAATATTGAGTAGTAAGTGTGGTGTTTGATGGCGAAATTTTGTCATCTAATTTAAATAAGCAGACTAAATGTGTTTTGCGACTTGCTACATTCACCCATTTGAACGTTTCTTATCATCATTATATATATATTTTTAGCTTCGTAACATTTTTTTTTAATAGGTCTATTTTTTATACCTACAAACAAAATTTATAAACTAACAAAAGATAAAATGTTAAACTTGTGAGACAATTAAAATTAAAATTAGAAATTTGTTTGATACACACTATGAGCATCATAGTAAAACTAAATAAAAAGTATAAAACGTAGAGAAAAGTTGGATTTTTACTTAAAAGATAAACAAATTAATAATTTTAATCCAAATAATGCATCGGACAGTTCAGATCTCATTTCAGAAGACCAGATAATATGTCATGAAAGGGTAAATAAATAATGGTTTTGTATTAAAATCGGATCTCCTTGTATTACATTTACATAAATCTTTTAAAAATAAATGTAAATACTCAAAGAAATGATTTTTAGGCCCGGTCCCCACTGGATAACCACTGCTACTCAAAAGCTAAGTAACAACTACTCATAAATATTCAATTATGTTGTTGTTATTTATTTAGTTTCAAAAGATTTTTAAAAGCAAAATAAAATTATTTTACTTATTAGAACAGTGGCGTATTTGACTCCTTGGGGCCCGGGGCTATTTTTGTTTTTGGAGGCCTTTTTATGGGGCAGAGCCTAAAAATGACTTAAAAAAAAATAAAAAAAAAAGAAACTCTAAAATTTTTTGGGGCTCCTAAATTTGCGGGGCCCAGGGCTAGAGTCTCCCCTAGCCCCCCTTGATCCGGCACTGTATTGGAACTTATGTTGTTGTTTTACGAGGTCAATCTGAATATAAAATTTGCAGAGGAACATAAAATATATACATAAAAGTTTTTAATTGCAATCAAAGTTAATAAAAATAATAATTTTTTTTTTGTTTTTACAATGTTTAAAAACAAATGTAACTAGTTATTTATGTAATTAGTTACATTTTTTATGTAACAAATTATTTCAATCATTTTTTAAAAAGAAGAAAAGATTTTATTTAAGGATATAATGTGATGTAATGTAAATAATGCAAAAAACACTTATAAATTGTATTTATATTATGAATGTATACTTGTTAAGTTTTGACATTTTCTGCCTACAATGCCTACAATACAATAGCGATTTCTGCCTACAATGCGCGCGCATGTTATTTTTAAGATGTGACATTGCGCGGAAAGTCAAAATCTGAGAAATGTAAATGCGGTAGCAAGATGTTTTCATTCTCGGAAAAAAAAAACATTCCGAGAATAAAACAATTCCCGAAAAGTTATAGATCAAATATGTCCATCAGTATAATTTAAATTAAAAAAAAAAAAATTATATTGTAGAAATGTTTGATCATTTGATGATGATGGAAAAAATATGTAGTTATGATCGCAAATTAAGAGAGTATTTGATCGGTAAGCAATGGTATATATTTTTTGTCTTTCTCTAACTATATCTTTGGAAGTAATTATAACTTATTTAATAGCAAACCAAATACAAGCTCAATAAAAGTATTATCAAGCTATTTTATAACCAGGGGTGCCAGCAAAATGTTACTTCTGGTTATCAAATTAACTATTTAATAGTAAACATAACATTTTAATATTACCATTGTTAATTTGACTAAATATATTTTTTCGATTTTAAAAATGAATAAATTATTTAACTTATTCTTGAATCTATAAAATTACACAGAATACAACACTGCTCAGAAAAGTTAAAAAACAAAAATCATTTGCTTTAAAAAGTTTGTTTAAGGCAAGTATTAATCTATTTTAAACCAATAATATTTCAAAAAATAGTATTATAGTATTGTTAGATTTCAGAAATTTTACAATATAAATACAATTAAGTATCTAGTAGACAAGTAAAAAAAAAAAAAATAATTGCTTAAATACTTATCATAGCCAAAAAATATTTAATGCCTTTTCTTGTCTTTTTTATTCCTTAAAAATATTTAATCCACTTCTTGTTTTCTTAGTGCTTATTTTCTCTGTCAAGTCTACAAGATTGTAGACTTGACAGAAATTATTATAACTAAAACTTAGCTATAGCTTGCAAATAAAAAGTCTTAGGTTGCTGCGTTTTAACTCTTACAAAGTTACTAAACTAAATTTTTTCAAGTTATTGTGTTTTGGCTTTTCTGAGTAAAATGTTTTTTTGCACATACAACATCTAAACACTTTACACAATTTTCATATTGTGATCAGGAATAATTAAAACTGTAAAACTGAGATTGTAAATTATCCTTTTATTTTATTTTTTTTAAATTTTAGTTTTTTTTTTTTTTTTTGCAAAATAAGCATAGTTTTCTTTTTGTTTATTAAATTTTTGTTAAATTTCCTTTTATAACAATCATAAAGTTTTTCATTATAATTTTTTTTCCTGAAATTACTTAAAAAAATTGTCTGGAAAAAACAATTTTTTGCAGATGTTTATCTATTACCAACTTTAACAGTATAGATAATATAGAAAAGCACAAAAGAAAACTAGTTTTTTTATTATTTTTTAAATGTCAATTATGTTCCTTATTCTTTAAGGTTTAATCAGCAAGACTGTTGAATTTGAAGAAAATAAAAATTCTTGCAATGAAAGCAGTAATGTTTTTGATGAAATAGAGAATAAATGGAAAACAATATGTAGTGAGGCTTTATTGTTACAAACTGTCCCTATCCTTCTGCAAGGTTTTTTTTTATGTTCTTATTTTTTTTTTTAATTTTTCATAGACATTAAAACAAACATCAAAATACAAAAATGAAAAAACCTAATATTTTTGCCACTTTAAAAATATTTTTTTTATAAAATATTTTCTTAGAAAAATTTTTAAAAATTAAAAAAAACAACAACTAATAGGCTCTAAAATTAAATGGGTTTAGCAATAGTTTTATTAATTGTATTTATAGTTGCATGTTCATTATCAAATATTTAAGATACTTTTACTATGTCAAACAAACAAATCTATATAATTTAAATAAATACATATATAACAAATAATAGTATATAAATATATATAAAAAATATATAAAAAAATATATAAAAATATATATAAATTAATATAATATACATAAAAATATAAAAATAAAAATGAATAACATAAATATAATTATAATAATATAAATATAAAATAAATAAATATAATATAATGATAAATAATATAAATATAAATAATACAAGTATAAATAATATAGATATAAATAATATAATATGATAATAAATAATATAAATATAAATAATATATTATAATATAATAATAATAATAATAATAATAATAAATAATATAAATATGAGTAGTAAAAATATAAATATTGTAAATATAAAATAAATAAATATAAAAAAATAGAAATGTATATATATATATATATATATATATATATATATATATATATATATATATATATATATATATATATATATATATATATATATATATATATATATATATATATAACAAATTTTTATAAATATTAAATAACAGTAGGTTTGTGCAAACAATTTCATTTAAGGAGTGATGTTCCAGCAAAAAAAACCTTGCTTCTTTCAAAAAAAAGCTCATATGTCCTTTTGTAGAAAATAAAGATGTTTGAGAAGATTTAGTGACAAATTATTAATAAAACATCTTAGTTGTCTTTCTACAAACATTAGTTACCCACCTTGCCAACAATACAATAGTTGTTTTTGACTGTAAAATATTGCTGCAAAATCATGATATGGGGTACCAATACTGCCGATAAAAATGATGGCTTAACACTAAAATAACACTAAAATAAAAGTTTATTTTGGATTACTTCAAGAAAAACTTAAAATATTCATGATCATCACAAATAACCACAAATTTCAGCGTGATATAGCATATTGTCATCGGTCAAGGCTTGTAAACATTTGATTATGTTAAAATAGGATTGAGGTCATTAGCCTCTAGCCTGGTAATTCATCCAACCTCACACCTTAAAAATTTGGTACCCTAATGCTGAAAAAATATATAATCAAAATCCTTTTAACCAATAATTGCATGTTAAAAGGTTCTCATAAAACCAAAAATTGAAATCATATTTTGAAATCCAACATAGATATTTTAATTTGGATATGTGCAGAAAGTTATATTTGACCGTTATTTAACAATAGATCCCAGCTAACAATTAATGTTCAAAGAACGTTACCATAACCTTTGATTAGGTTTGCATAACGTACGCTGGAAACGTTCTTTGAACCAACTTTTAAGAACGCCGATTTACAGTTCTTGAACATTCGCTGTGAACGTTCTAACAACAAACAATGAACGTTGACTTAACGTTCGCTTCAAACGTTACTTTGATAGCACAATTAGCTGAGCTGATTACAATTAAGAAAAATAATACTTCTTGCGATAAAAAAGTTGATTAAAAAAACTCGAAAAAAAAAAAATTCAATTTTTTTGAATTTTAGTACTTGCTCAAACGTGCGAAAAATTGGTTTAAAAAGGGTAAAAAAGCCTAAAATATGACTTTTGAGGCACTTGAGCAACCCCTAAAAATAGTCAAAATTAAAAAAAAAAAAAATTCTACTAATAAAATAAGGGGCAACGCAGCAGATAACACTCCATGGTACTTAAAATTTTTTCATGACCTCAAAATGAAGCAGTCTAATGCACGTCGTATGTAAAATATCAAACCTTTCAATACTTCATAATAAATAAAAACAATTCCTAATTAATAACAAATGATTTTTGTGGATTTGATAAACAAACAAGTTTTATTTATGAATTATTTATACACAAAGAATGACATTAGTTCACAATACTGTTTTAGGGACAGCATAATTAACTTTACTATTTTTCACGGGTCCCTAATATTTAAAAAAAGAAAAATTCAAAAGTATCATGTTGGATCTTCAAAGTAGTGAAATTGTATAAAAATTTCAATTAAATAATCATTTAATAATACAACTATTCTTTCAGATTTAATTAAATAAAAACTATATTTTTTTAACCACAAATAAAAGTGAATTTTTACAAGTTTTAAATAAAAAAAATAATTTATATCTATGTTTTTTAAAACGAATATTATTGTTAAAATTTATATATTATTTTTGCTATATTATTTTGAATACCAGGTTGACCTACTTTAAATTTTTTTTTTTTTTTAATATAAGGACACCGTTAAAATGTAAAGTTAATTAAGCTGTTGTAATAAAGCTGTATGTAAGCTGTACTTCTTGCTGTGGTCAATCACATTTTGAAAAGCTTTTACAAAATTTACTGAAAGCCATGGATTCAGGGATGTATATGGCTTTAAGCCATTCACATCCCTCTTCAACCTCACCATCGTGGTTACTACAATGGCAACGATTGCAAGTAGTTGCTCCAAAAGATAAATGAACTGAACTTTCTTGCTGAAGCTAAAGGTCATTCAGAAGCCCTGGATTTCTGCCGTTTTTTGAATTCATTCAAGGAAGTTGTTTGTTTTAGCTGTTCCCTTTCACCTAATTATGTTTTAAAAATTGAAGATTTCAAAGTTTCAGTTTTCTAAAGCTTCAGATTTTGATCATGCAAAGTTTCATACTGTTTTTCATCATGTTTGTCAATTTATCAAGGTGAACAAAAATTAGCCTAGAACTGTACAGTGAACAAGCCACTAAAGCTTTACATTCTTGTTTGAAAGGTCATTGGGAAAGATACAAAAGAGATGCTTCTCATTTCTGCAACTTTCATCAGCTCTTAATCTGTGTTGTTGATTACAACAGCAAAAATGTGTGAATCAACTGCACAGAACTGGACCAAGATGCAAAAAAATTGAATAAGAAGAATCTGATAAATGCTGTGTTGCTAGAATTATTTATTGAGAAGTTTTTATGACTAATATGTTTGTTAAAAAGAAATAAAATTATTCAGGAATCAGTTCTGTGTAGTTTTATTTATTACTTAGACCTTTTTGGGTAAAATAATATTTTGGGAGAAGTCATAAGTTGTTACAAGTTGAGGTAAATATAAATAGAAAAACAATAATAACTCTGTTAGATTTCAATGCAAGATTTTAAAATAATTTATTATGGATACTTTAAGTCACTACTTCAAAGGATTTCAATAGGATTTTTCATCAATATTTTTAGGGTTTCAAATTTTTGATCTATTCACCCTATTGAAAATTGCTGTGATCATCTTAAAATGTAAAATGATTACAGAAGTTTCTGATACGAGAGAAAAGTATGCCAAAAACATAAGTTGAATCTATACTTAGGTTCAACTTATGTTTCCTCAATATTTAAGAAACTTTATTTACATTATTCTTAACCATTTAGCTGATTGTTTGAAAGCTTAAGGACACCGTATCAAGTATTAAATTGATAGATGAACATATAAAAAAACATATATCGAGAAGATGATTTTAATATTTGTGAAACTAAATAGGGTATGTTTTCAGCAGCACAATTTATGTCCAGTAACACAATTTAAAACATCTTAGAGATAAATGTTACCTCATGTACAATTAGAGGACGTTTGTTAAAGCAAGTTTTTTTTTCAAGATCACCTAGAAGTGTGTTAAAAAAACACATTTAAAAGCCAGAAAATAAATTTTTTGTAAGCATTCTGCATGGATAGATAAAAAATGAAGCACAATTTTGTAGGCAGACAAATCTAAACTTAATACTTTTGAATCAAATGGTTTTAGCATCAAATGTTTTGTCTTTGCAGACAGCCAAGAGTCTGCTAAAACCAAGAGTTTGACCCACACTAAAAAACAATAAAGATTGGTGTAAGAAGCATTAAAATGTGGGGATGTTGTCATCTGGTATTAGTCCTAATTTTTTAATAACAGCGACTATAATAGCAAATATTTATGCTAACAGACTTCAAGAAAAAATGTTTACTTATGCTGAGAAAAACATGATATTGTTTTTTTTTTTTTTTGTTAATTCACCTCCTCAAGGCCGAGAAGGCCACTACAGACAAGAAGGCTACTTATTTGTGGTTATAACCCTCTCTCAACTCTATAACTCCGAAACACAAACCTTGATGAACAAGGCCGCTGTGCGGAGAAACAAGTTGAGCGCGGTACTACCAGGGACGTGGTGGGGATTGAACTCAGAACCTCTCGCTTATGAAGCGAGTGCTCTACCACTACACCACTACCGCACTATATATTTTAGATATTTTTAAAATAAAAAAAATCAAATTCTTTTGCAAAGTACTGGTTAAATATAATAATGGTATAGGACAGTTAGATTGGTCAGCGAACTCACGAATTTAAATCTAATAAAAAATTTATGGATTGATTCATATTGTATATGAAACAAAAAGTTATTTCTGTTATTGTTTTATTATTTTTGTTAAGTAGTTGTTAGATAAACATTGAATTTTTTTTATATTTAATATAAAATCAAATAGTCATTTCTGTATTTTTTATTTTTTTCAGTAAATTTCCCACTACCTTCAACAAAGTTGTTTGTTACGTCATAAAATCAATGAGGACTATAATAGTTAATAAAATTATTGATAAATTAAAAAAAAATAGTATAATGATAAATAATAATTTTTTGAAAAATTAAGTATTAACACTAAATTTTATATATATAAAAAGTAATATTAATTATCATCAATTGCTCTGAATAAGATGTATTTGCTATTTTTTTTCACTCACTGAAAAAATGCACAATTCACTCACATGCACAATTTATACATACTTTTCTTAAAATTTTTGTTATTTTTTTTTATTATTAAATCATAAAACATATATAATTCAAATTTTTTTAAACAATAGGGAGTTCAATGGAAGGTAGCTCACTGGCACGATTAGCTAATCCATTTTTAAAAGACATTTTTGAGTTTGAAATTGATCTAAATATTGTTATTGGGACAGTGAGTCAAGTGCAGTTTGAATCTTGCTACGAACCAGTGGGTCGGAATAAAGCTTTTTTTCGCTATGTTATTAAAAACAGTTTGGCTAATGATATCAATATATGTATACGATTGCCAGAAGATATTGAGCAAAAACTTATCGCTTCTATCTCTAATTCTTCTGATCCCTTCCTAGATAAAAAATGTTTGTCTGGTATTGTTTTTAAAGAGTTTTATCATAATAGACAACCTACAACAAACAATCCACTTAAAAGTATTAGCGTGAGAGGAATTAAAGGAATTTTTAGTGAAACATTAAAAAAGACAATTGAAGGTTGTTCAGCTTTTTTAAAATTCAGTACAGAAAATCTTTCTAAAGAAGATGTAATAACAAGTCTTATTGAGTTGGTCAACTTAGCTAAACAACAAATTTACAATTTAAATAGACAGTTTGATCATTTTGAGGAAGTTGATCTCAAGACTGTAAAAAGCCTTCATCATTATTTGAATGAAGTCAACAGACTTCAGATTATTCTGATGAAAAGAAAAAGTTTTCCTGATTCAAATGACCAAAATTTTTCTTTCAAAGCAATAAGTATTAACAAAAAAGATAACCAATCAGAATCGAAGTCTTCTTTGATTACAAATGAAAATTCTTTTACATATGAGGATGAGAATATTAACGAGTGTAAAAACAATTTAACACTTCAAATTACTAACATCTCAAATACTATAAATGAATGGGTGAAGTGTTTAACTGTGCTTATGGAGTTACACAACGAGTTATATAAGTTTTGTTTGGATATGAAATCTATTCTTCCGCAACATTTTAAGACGTTTTTCAAAAATTATTCTTGTTTATTTCCTGATTATTACTACAAAATTTATTTTGAAAAATTCATATGTACATGGTCACAAAACAAGAGTGACATGGAGGAAAACTTAATAATGGCAAATTCAATTTGTCGTGCTACACATCTAGGTTTAAATAACATAGATATTTTGAAAAAAACTTTTAGTGAATTCATTGAACCCGAACTCAATGTTGCAATTAGTTTAATAGAGGAGAGTTTATTTTTAACTAAAAATGACTTTATTTCAACTGAAATACTTATTGATAATGTTCCATGCTTTTATGCACCTTTTTGGCCTGATGCAGCTTCCTCCTGGGTTACACGCAATAGGTTTTGGCCGGACTCACAACTTGTAGGATCAATTTACAAAAAAGGTTTCCATATCGTACCAAAATCTTTACCAGAAGGTGACGAGAGATTGGAATGGCGATTGTCTTTTTCTGCAGCAGAATCTGTTTTAAGTCTCAACCGAACAGAGAAACAAAATTACATTTACTTTCTTTTCAAGTCATTGTTTTACCAATATATAAAAACATACAGTCATGAAAAGTCATTACCCACGTATATATGCAAAACAGTGATGATGTGGGCTTGTGAACAACAGCCCCAGTCATGGTGGGAAGAAGTATCACCTGATAATGGAGTTTTGTTCTTGATAAGAGAGTTAGTTAAAGGTATAAAAAAAAAAGTTATAAAACATTACTTTATCGAAGAATTAAATTTACTAGAACACTTTTCATCATCTATTTTGGTTTTTACTGAGTTAAACTTGTTCTGTTTAGAAAAGAATTTTGTTGAAAAACTAAATACCTTAATGGTAAAAATGAATTCAGGAATGATTATTGTGATTGCCCATTTGAATGAGAAGCACTCAGCATCGCTAGATATATCTGTACCTTTTGTTTATGAACAAAACTGTTTAACAAAGTTGAAATTTTTATTTATAAATTCTATTAAAATTTTTATATATAGTTATTTTTACAAATGTTACTGGATTTACGAAGAAATTTCAAGAATAAAAGGAGAACTCACTATTCAAGCCCAAGTTGTTGACCTTATTACAAAAGTATTGCAGTTTCAAGATAATGAAGAACTGAGAGAATTGCACTTAACGCAGTTAAAAAAATTCAATGACTTGCTGTGTCGAATAACAGCATTGGATAGAACTGCTCCTTGTTTCTTTTCTGGTTTAAAATCTTTTTTTCTTCTAAGCTGTACTAAGTGTGACTCTTGCAATGCAATCATTAGGTGCAAAACTAAACGTTATTTCTGCTCCTTATGTGCACCTGTTGGTAGTTTTGATGTGTGTATAGATTGTATTAATAATAGGAAAGATATCTTTCAATGGGTTCATATACATCAAGATCAACTAGATGATAATAAACTAAATGGTAATCTTAAAGATACTTTAGATATAATAAGTGATGAATCGCTTGGTTTAAATCATACAAGAAATAAACAAACTAATAATGTTGCAGAACAAAAAAATAAAGATTGTCTTTTTTCTGATTTATTTTCTCATATTAAAAATATAAAAGTTATCGTTCCTCAGTTTGAACTCGAAAAATTCAACAATTTTGCTGAAACCTGCACTTACGAAACACAGTTAGGACTTGCTTTCCGTGAATTAAAACAGAAATTCGAAGACATGAATGACATTCTTTTAAAGGAATTGATGCATTCATTTCAATGCGCAACAAAACCAGTTCCATTTATAGAAAATATTTGCACTCAGTTTATCAATAAATTTGAAAATATATTTATAAAAAATCCGGTACCTATTTTAAGCAAATGTATTGATAATGAAATTCATGATCTTTATTTTAAAGATTGCGATTCACTTAAATGTGCATCTATGTTTTATGACCCTCCCTCAGATTTAACTTACTGGAAATCAGCATTAGTTTTACGAAATGACTGTGCAAATAATTATAATGAACATGCGATAAAATGTTTTTCATCAAAACGTATTTTTAGTTTACGTCGTCAACCACCTGGAGAATTTATCAGAAAAACTGGGTTTTTTAATAATCTAGTTTTAGATAATGTAAACATTTTTGATACCACTAGTAGACCTTTTGAAAATGAATTTTCTTCTGAAGTTTTATCAGATCCAACAGAGATGTTGAATAAACAATTTACTGATTTTATTGATTCTTTAAGAGCTGAAGAGAAAACAATTTTAAATTTAAATTTGTTGATTCAGGTAGTTGAAACATGTTGAAACTTAGCCATATTAGCTCAAAAGATTGCGTGCTTTCCCTCCTTTTGTGGTAATGTGTTTCCTAAATAAATGATGAAAACACTGTAGAAACTTTTTTTTATGTTATTTTTTTAAAAATGGCTCAAATTTGAATTTTTTATCATATATTTAAAAAAAAACTAGAATAAGCTTTTTTATGGAGGGGGAGGGGGGGTGAACAGTTCTTTAAAAATTATATTGCCTAAGTAAATATTAGTTATTGAATTATTGAAAAAATGAGTTTTGCATATTGCTATGTTCTTATTTAAACATGATATTGTAGAAGTTGAAGCAATTTTTTACAACCGGATTACACTTCCTGGAAACACTTCCTGGCGTTAACTTGTTTTGCAGACCACTGCTGAATTTTTATTTTGATGCTATCACTATCACTACCTTGTTACAGAGTTCTTCCTATCTTTACCCACAATTAAATTAAGGGTTTCTTTTTCCAATTAAGCCTTTACCGCCGCTAAGGAATCTCAAACAATCAAAGCTATAATCTTTATAGAGTGCTAAATAGCAAAGTTGTGGTACTTTATGGAGAGTTTTTAGTAAAGTTGTGGCACTTTATGGAGAACTTTTAGTAAAGTTGTGGTATTTTATGGAGAGTTTTTAGTAAAGTTGAGGTACTTAATGGAGAGCTTTTATTAAAGTTGTGAAACTTTATGAGTTTTACTTTTAGAGTTAAACAATTTAGAAAGTAAACATTTGGTTCTTTATTAACTGCTAAATAGTAAATTTGTATTTTACTAATTTTATTAAAACTTTAATGAAAAAGTAGTAAAGTTCTGGTACTTCACGGAAAATGTACTGCTAAAGTTTTTATATCCCCTTTCGAAAAAAGTTAAAATTATCTTTATTTGTACTATACTATATTATAGTTTAAAAACTGCAGCTGGTACAAGCATCGGCTAGTGTAAATTGCACACTTTGACAGCTTTTTTAAGTTTTGATAAAGGTTTTTTATATTCGTGTAGTTTTTTTTGCTTATGAATCATTAGCTTTTTTTCGAATTTTTTCAAAGATTTCGCTTTGTCGACTTTTGTTGATAAAAAATTCCTTAAATAGTAAACTTATGGTATTTTATGGAGAGCTAAATAGTAAAGTTTTGCTGCACATCATACCGTAAAGTTTTGATAGTCCTATCAACCAAAAATTAGCGTAAACAAGAAGCCTTAGAAACTGTATTGAAGTTTGCAGTGCCACATTAAATTTAGGCTACACTATTATGTTCCGTTTTATCATTCCTATATTTAAATATACAATATTTTTTACCAACTTGTTATGTTAATCACATAAATAAATGAGTTTTTTCATCTGCTTATACATTATTATACTTGACCCAGATGGCATATAGGCATCGGACCAACATCAACGAAACATCAGTAATAAGCATCAGTTTTGATTAGTGGCTGCTCATTAACAGGACGTAACAAAGACTTTAAAATCCGATTTCCGCTATCAATCGGCTAAAGTTGTAATTTTTACATATATTTCATGGGCGGCTGCTCATTGGCACAACCTAAATAAAAAACTTAAAAATTGACTATGACGTTTACCAATGAGCAGACGACTATCAAAAATGCATTAAAACATATTTTTAAGTCACCCAATGAGACAATATACAAAATAAAAATTAGTATTAAACTAATGAGACAATATGCTAAATAATGGTTTGTATTGACTTAATAAAGATGATATATTATTTAACTAGATGTCTAACTTGCGGGATTTTATTGGACAAAAAATGAAGCCGCTTTTTTTGTTCATAACAATAGTCCGCCATTTGTAAAAAAGGCAAAAGTTGAAGCCGAAGTGTGGAATAAAAGTAAAAAATTTAAGTCAAAAGTTTCCAATAAGTTAAAGATAATTCAAAAACAAGTTTTAATAATTATAAAATACTTATAAAAGTTTTTTTATGAGCCTATGTTTAAAGTTTTAATTCATAAAAATACTTCAAAAGCGTCTGTTGTTTTACTTTTCTATTTAAAACTTTTTTCCCTTATTAATCAAAAATAAATTAAGGAATCATAAATTATTGTTTTACAATTATTATAGTTTCCGCTTAACACTTTTACACAAACAGTATTTAAATTTAAATTGTATTTACTTTATATAAGAAAAGAAAAGTAAAACATATTTGTTTACAAATTTAATCCGCCATTTGTAAAAAAGGTTTCTAGTTATATAATTCTAGTTATACCATTGCTTAATAACACAAAATACTAAATAGAACAAAAGCTTTAATTGTCAAGTTGTTACTTTAAACGTACTTTTGAGCATTCGTTGATTACGATTAACTGTCAAATATAATTGTTTTTTATAAAAGGTTTGCTATAATGTTTTCACACTAGGAACGAGCAAAACGTTTGCTTGGCTCATTTCCAGCGTGAAAAAAGTTCGGGTAAAAAAACAAACTTTTTTTACCCGGACCTTTTATTGCTTAACCCTATTCTGCATACTGTATCATATATGATACAGTTTATAAATTGTGTATCTCTGGTTGAATGCACAGGAATTTTAAACAGGAATTAAGGAATTAAAGCAGTGATGAGAATGCGGACAGCAATGACAATCAGTCTTTTTCAATATTAGGAAGGGCAAATGGCAGCGCGGGTCAAAAAGATGGTGCAACAGTGGAGCAAGCTATCAACAAACCAAATGTAAATAGAAAAAAACCAGCAAAAAAATCTTAGCTATTGCGGAGAGTTAAAAATCTTCCAAACAAACAAGAAGACCTCAAACTTAAAGGTAACTACGAACAAAAAATGAACGAGTTTTTGGATTGTCTTGGTTCAGAACTGTCATGCTTTTATAGGATTTTTCCAAAAAAGCTTTTTCGAAAAACTGCCTATCAGACAGTTTTGTATTCCATGCAAACCAATCCTGAAAAACCAGTTGCTGTAAAAGAGGAAGATATAATTAGTTTTGTTGGATATGTTTTGAATATGTCCATTGTCAAACTCCCAAGCACAAGAGATTATTAGTCGTCTTCCATTGGAATTGATCATGTAGCTATTATTATGCCCGTCAACCGCTTTGAAAAATTAAAAAGCATTATTTATTTTGCTGACAACAACTCTGCTAACAAAGACAACAAGCTTTTCAAGATACGCCCTCTCATAAACAAAATGAATGAACAGCTGAACAGTATTCCATTTAAAGAAAATTTGCGGTTGATGAGCAGATTATTTCGATAAAGAAAGACATTTAATCAAACAATACAACCCTAATGGGGTTTAAAGTTTTTGTTCTGAGAGGTGTCTCTGGTTTCAGCTATAATTTTAAAGGAAGTGACAACATTTGCTTTGAGAATGAACCAGACCATGGGGCAAGTAGTAACGTTGCCCCATCACTTGCTGATATCACACAACGTTTTGGTCCAAAAATTGCCATTCCCCAGGAAGCAATTCGGTCTGATCAAGTTTGACGTTGGCCTATTTTCAATGAAAAGCGGGCTCGTTGCAAGTATGACAAGTGCTCCGCCTTAACGTATTCATTTTGTGAAAAGTGTGACACTGCGCTGTGTCTTAATAAGGACCGCAACTGTTTTCCATCAATAGATTTTTTATTTATAATGATATCTTTACTGAGTGTATTTAACTACCAAGGTCATATTCCAAGATAAACTCTCTGTTTAGCAACAAGCATTAGTTTATAATTTTTTCATAAAGTTCCACTACTGCATGATGTATCATATATGATTAATTATTTTGCAATTATATTAATTAAATAAAACAATTAATTTTTTTGCAAATAATTGACCTTAAAATTTTTTTTTTTGGATGTTAGGTCATAGAATGCTTCTAGAACCATTAGTTTAATTTGATAAAAAAAAAATTATGCAAAAAGGGGTTAAAGCGTTAAAAGAGAATTAGAATGGTGCAGTGGTTAAAGTGTATGCTTTAGAATTAAGAGATTAATTTTTTTTTGATTGTTTTCTTTTTGTTCTTTGAGAATTGTGTTACAAAATTTTTTTTATTATTTTTTTTAAATATTCCTGGATTTTCTGAAAAAATAAAAATAAAAAGTAATTTTTGGGTAGCCTTGTATCTTTTAAGGATTTTTAGAAATTTAGTATAAGTTTTGAAATAGGCTTAAAATCCGGAGATTCGTGCTAGCAAAAAAGTTACGAAGCGATTTTGACATAAAAAATTTTAGTCTCTACTTTATGGTGGGGATTTCATTTGTGTGACTTATTGTGACCATTTGTGTCATTTCATTTGTGTGACTTTCTCACTGAGACTAGTTCAGAATATTGGCAATATTGTCGGCAACTTTTCCGGAAAATATTTTAATGCCATCTAAATTCACACCTAATTACCAGTTGTATTTCACTGGCAAAAATTACATAAAAATTTTAATCTGTATAAAATTTTCTTTGATGTTTCTTTTAAAAGAAGCTAAATAATTTTTAGTTTATTTTATATTTTTTTATATTTACACTTTTTGACAAGTAAATATACTGTTTTTTTTATTGCTTTTTTGGGTTACAGTACATCAGTTGTAAAACAAAGGTTTTCTTTTGATTTAAAATTTTTAGTTTTCAACAGTTTTCTTCCAATTTAGCTGATAATGACATAAGTTTGTATTTGAAAATTAAAAAATTAAATCAAAAAAGTAGGTTGCTGAGTCAAAAAAGGAAAGAAAATTTATGCTTTTAAATTTTCTACCGTCACTATAACGTTTGCGGATTTGGTGTTGCAGTATGATGGTTCGGATGAAAAATAAATGAATACAGAAATGGAACTAGTAGCAAAACATAAAAACGTTGACGTGTTGCATGTAATGCTCCCCTTATTTCTTTCTGGCGGGCCATTTGCCGTTTATTAAGGCCTTGATGACGAGATAAAAAAAGACTACAAAGAAGTGAAAAATGCACTGACTACTACTTCCTCTGCTTCTCTGCTAACAGCATACGAAGAGTTTGTAAATTGCTGTCTTAAAGAGAACAAGTATTTTGATGTGTATCTAGCAGAGTTAACAAAGCAAGCTAACATTATCTAACGTAGGCGAAGAGCGGATAAGGTGCATATTTGTTCATGGATTACCTGACGAAGCAAGAAAAGAGCTGCAAACTGCATACGCAATATCAACCATGACGCCGTACC